GTAGTCAAATTAAAACATTTAATGAAAACAACTAAGTTTAAATTCCAAAAGTGCTGACATTTCTCAGCGCTCCCACAACATAAATACTAAGATGAGTTGCACTTTTGTGATGACCTTTCTTGAAAAAATAGTTGGAGTGTATGAAAGCACACTGGCTAGAATTAAACATCTACTACCACTACGTAAGAACTCAAAATGTACAAGTCCTGTTACCCCCTGTTACAAAACAGTGATATGAGACTATGGAGAAGTTGAAACAAGCTGTCAGAGATGCATTTCACCTCATCACTCCATCTATGTGGCATCGAACCTGGCAATGGATCATTATTTGCCATGAAAATGATGGTGTTCACGCTGATCCTCTGGACGTCTATATACAATTAAGTACTTCTAAATACAATTATCATCATTCTTCCACATGTTTCGTTGTTGCACTGTAGGGGGAAAAACGGGTAACAAGACTTTGTGAACATCCTGTAAGTTCATGATTGTGTTCATATCAATACTGGGCAGTTAACTATAATTCTGCAGAATTCAAATAATTATTTATTGATATCCAAATTATCCCCCTCAGCCCCAACTAAATGTGCATAAGGAAATAAGATAGATAAGAACAGATCATGGTCTCAACAAAGAGAACAAATTCAGTTTTGAAACTATCTTTTTATCTAAAATTTGTGTGCCAGATGAGCTGAGATGTGTGTGATTCATTGGTCTTTCTACTTAATTCTTGGGCAGTTTCTTAAGTGTTATTTACTGTACCATATAGTTTACATTTATATAGAGCCTTTTACATTGGGAGGATGTCTCAAAGTGCTTATCATGATTATTACTTGTGCTGCTTTATGTTGTTTGCATATGTCCAGTTTTCATTTTCTTGTCCTTATGTAACAGATTTGTTACTAAAACCTGTAGGAACATCATGTATAGGGTAAAACATAAGTCCTGTCTATCAGGGTTTCATTGCATTTTGTAATCTTGAGCGTAATCGCCAAGTACTATTCACAAGACAGGTTCGGATGAAGAATGTCCTTCTCATACTTTTAGAATATCATCCTAATGTCTTCATTATATTATCAAGCTGTTTCTTAAATTAATCTAATATTTTGGCTTCAACCACCTTCCTGGTAACCCATTCTAGCTGCTGATTGTCCTTCTCATTCGTATTGCCGTCAGTATCTTTCATGTGAGAGACTGCGGTTGAGTTCCCTAATACAGCACCCGAAATGGATCCACTAATATCGATCAAGGCAGTGGCTATCTGAGCAATAGGAACACAAGAATGAACAAGACCAGAAAAGACCATTGCAGTCTATCTGACGAGTCCGAAACAACAGAGGAAGGATCCAGATTTGACAAATCAGGAAGGACCTAGGTTCGATTACTGGCCTATACTGAGTTAATGGATCTCTCAGTCAGCCTCGTATTACAATTTATCTCAAAACTTTTAGTCTTGGTAGCAGAAATGTTGCACTAAGTTTCTACTCAAAATTGCTACCCAGAGCCTCCTTCTGGAAAGTGAGTGCTTGTGGATACTATAATAATAATTCTTGCATTTGATATGGTGCTTTTCACGTCTTTGAGACGTCTCAAAGCACTTCACGGAATATACTGTAAAATGAATTGACTGCATATTTTGTGGTCAATACGCAGCAGCCAATTGCGCACAGCAGTGTTTCACAAACAGTTGTGGATTGAGTGACCAAATTATTATTTTTTTTTCTTAAGGGATTATTATCAGGCGTGTGGAGCAAGGAAACTTGCCCAAGGTTTCTCCCTGCTGGGAATCAAACTCAAGTCTCTTGCTTGCGAGGCAAGTGCTCTCACCACTGAGCTACAGGACTCCACTGGGTCATGATAGGATCAGGCTCACTAATGATACAGAAAGACCGAAAATACTTATGTCAATGCTCTCAGTTGAAGAATGGTTAGTCAGTTATGTGAGGTACTGAATGTGGTTGGGGGTCATGTAACCAAACCCAGTATAATTCAGTTCCTTCAGAAGAGAAGGGGAAGAATTGAAAGGAAAAAGAAAAAACACTCTTGTTACAAAGTTGCATCTGTCACAATGGGGTTGCAATCTGTTTACTTAGATACTGATTGACATTTGCAAATAGAGTCAAGAATATAAATGCTCTACCATGTGTGGAAAGAATCCTGTTAACACATTGTTTTGAGGAATAAAGAATAAATTAATGTAATGTGGAAGTTCCCTGCAGACAGCACTAACATACGTTATTGATTTGGTGACTGAGAATGAATGGCACTTGAAAGATGAAGTGTTATTGCAAATCATGTCATTAAGAAGATCATTAAACTATGAATCACTCAATAAGATATGTACAGCATGCCATACAGCTCGTGAACTTATTATCTTACCTTATTTTTCTTTGTTCTATGTGACTCTATTGGACACAAAGCATATTAATCTGACCACATGTTAGTGCCAGTGCACTGCTGTCTTTTATAATGGACGAGCAGTAACTGGTGATTTATTCGTGAACTGCAGGAAGCAGAGTGATGCAGGTATATTGTAACTTGTGATGTTAATGAAGAACACAAGACTTAATGAAATTCCTTTCTACATCTATAAGTAATTGGCAGTCTTGGCTGTTGTGGAGAGTATTAGAAATTGAATCTAACCCCAAGACGATGTGTCACATGGAATTTATCATAATGTCGCCTGAACTTTGAACCTGCTGCTTTCTGATGTTATTCACTTAAGACTATTGCCCTCTGGAGGTGAGTAGGGAAATAGTAAAACTTTGCTTTGGTATGTTAACCTCTGGTACGTTGCCCATGTATCTGTGTCAAAAGAAAAGAATTTGAAGTAATTTTCCCTGAACTTTTTATTTTAAGGGTAATGGGTAATATTCATAGTTTCACTTCAGTAGATTTTCTTTTGCAATGTAGACTTATAGGGAAGAAACATCCAGCATACACACAGGGAGTGTTGGAGGCTTTAGCACAGTTGTCATGCACAAAGGATTTTTTTTCTGTGATACGATTGGCAGATTTCTTGCACTAAACATTTTCTCATTATCCTAGGATGGGAGTGAGGAGATTAATATCTGGTTATCCATCTTTTAACTTTCAGGATTGTGTTAAGGCTATGAGCAGCTGACATTTATATAGCATCTTAAGTTATACCTACACCTATTGGTAATTTAGACAGATACTTTGGATTTTCTCTTCTGTTACTTCATTGCAATGGACAATGCACTTTGAGAGATCTGTGTGATAATTAGTTTATGTTCTATAGGTCATCTAGCAAAAATAGGCTTCCTAAACAAAACATTCATCCAACAATTGCTTTGGAATATTAGCAGTCAAGTTTATTTATGAGGGTGATGAGTGGCATTTATAAAGTTGCATTTTTTTCTTTTTCAGTTACTCATTAAAAATTTTACTTGTTTTATAAATCCAAATGATCCCTCCTTTCCAAAGAAATATTGCCTCTTCATTTCTCATTGTATTTCCTCTCTTGTATCCCAAATGGATCGTTCACCATTGGCAAATTATTGGAGTGCGGTGGGGGTAGGGGCTGGGGCACTTGATCCCTGACCAACTGCTGATCACTTGATGATCTTGTCAGTAAGAAGCATACAACCAAGGCATTGACACAACTTTTCCTCTGGTTATTTTGACCTCTTCCTTTCCCTTGCAAGGAACAGCCCTCTATTCGACACCTTCCCACAACAGGACAGGCAACAGAACCTGTCCCCTACAATGCGGCTGTAGTGCATTTGTGCCACCAGAGGAATAGTTTTGTTTCTTGTTTTGTGCTACAATTCCTGATAAATTGCTGTGATTGTAAAATGTTTTCTAATCTGTATTACTGATTTTCACCTGAATATTTTTCTGATATGAGATTTCCTCACAAGCCAGGTTCAGTGCACATCTTTCAGCTACATATTCAGATGGTGCCCAACTACAACACGTTTTCCCAATACATGATAATAATACTTACATTTGATATAATGCTTTTCACTTCAAGAGAGTGTCGCTGTGCTTCATAGGATTTACAATAAAGTGTGTTGTCAGCCTAGACTATATGACTGATGCTGTGTTTGAACCCACAATCGTCTGGCTCACAGTACATTAGTTTGGAGTGAGCTTTTGTGAGCAGGTGCGATGTAAATGGGTTTCCCTGCAAGAGGTGTACACTGCATCTCAATACATTTTCAATCCCATTGAGTAATTTTTCAAATGTAACAGATACCACAGCCAAGACTGATTGTGAACCCCCTCCATGCATTGTTTTTGAGCAAGAGTCACTGGCAGGTGATGATGAGATCTGCAAACATTACCGGATATTTTCCTTCTCCACCTCAGAGGTTCTGAAAGCAATCGTTATGCCCTTTATAACAGCCGCAAGTAACTCAGCACAGACTGAGGATCAAAAGTAGACCTGTGCCTGTATGACTCCTTTTCACATTGAATTGTGACTTTGCAAACTGAGCCATCGTGGAAAGACATTTTGAAATTTAAAGACTTCCGTTTTATTGTAAATTCTTAGTTAAACGGGAGGAAGGACACTACTCATTTAAGAAACAGCTTGACAATCTAATGGTAAAATGGTAGAGTTGGTATTCTTAAGGATGAGTTAAATCTGTCCAAAGGATTTTCTAAATCTAAACTTCTCTTGTGATACTGTGATCCTTGGAATTGTAGCTTTTTATACTGCTACAGTGGTGAATTAAATTGGTTTTGTGGAGTCCTGTAGCTTAGAGGCAATCGCCTCGCAAGCGAGTAATCTGGATTGATTCCCGGAAGGGGTAATTGTTGGGCAAATTCCTTTACTCCACACTCAATCCATGACTGTTTGTGGGACACTGCTGCAATTGGCTGCCGCGTTTTGTCCACGAAATATAATCAATTCACTTTACAGTATATTCTGTGAAGCGCTTTGAGACGTCTCGAAGACCTGATAAGGCGCTATATCAAATGCAAGGATTATTATAAAACGCATTGCTTTAACGTGTTGTTTTATGTTGCAGCTGCCTTTTGCTTCACGTTTAGCAGAAGTTGTACTGGAGAAGATGGGAGAGAAAGAGAAACTGTCAGAAGATTGCGCTTTACTCTTAAAAGTAGAAAGGTGACGGATTCATGGCTCAAGTGAAATGAGATGACCACTTCAAATGGCAATCTTCCGTGGCTAGTGGTCACAGACTCTTAATTGATAAAACGTGCACAGATTCTGTAATATTGCATCATGTGATTTTATTAAATGAAATTGAGACATTTTTCATGTTTTTTATTCACTTGTAGAATTCAGACACACATGATAAAATTGATCACTTACATTTCCCAGAGCTCTGCTCAATTTTTTTGTAATGCACATGTATAAAATAATTTATTGGTTTTGATGGCTAATAAGCAGAAATACCCATTTTATAAATCCTGTAATTCTGGATAACATTGTTTAATACATTTCTCCACTTAATTTAGTATATTACATTATTTGAAGAAATTAAGTATTTAATAATTTTTTTTACACAAATCACATGAAATATTAATTATTTGAAAGGATTTAATTTACAAATTAGAGCACAAACAAAAATCTGACAATTATTCTTAGATTTTGTAGGCCAGTACAATGTAACACAGTATCTTTCTTCTATACTTTACAAAAAGTGTGTTTAAAATTGTGAGGATTGAATTTATTTTGCCTTGCTGTAAAAAAAATTGTAGATAATAAAGTCTTAAACTATATATTTTGTCTAATTCCTGATCCTTTCTGTAAGGTATTCTTGTCTAATCCTTTCTGTTTCCAAAGAAGTTTTAACACAACAAAGAAACCACATTGGGGCTTGTTCTCCAGTTATGTGTAAAAAAAATGCGGCAGAGCACAATGCAAATAGGAGTGTGAAAGTTACAGGAATGTCAGCATTCATTGTGAGCTCAATTTTTTTTACAAAATATATATTTATTTGTTGATATATATTTACACATATCTCAGACGTATCAAACCCGTTACAGAAAAAAAAGACGCAACGTGTTATTATCCCGTTACAGGATACAACAGAGCCAGACCCTTGTGGTGGGGTGGCCTCTGCGCACTCCACTTTGGTGAAGGGACCAAGGCTTCCCTGCCTTGGTGTTCTGCCGCCCTTTGCAGGGCGCAGTTACAAGTTGGGTTGTGTACCCTCTCCCAATTCCCCCCCACCCCTCCCTTAGTGGGGAGCGCATACAGGTTCACAGCACGCACACAGGATGTGCAAACATGTTTTGGGACGCTCCATTTCAGACAGTCCGAAATCGCCCCAGTGTGCACCACATCCACATGCGCCCCACACACACCCTAATAAGGCACATAAAGTAGGCTTTATGCTGAAGTGACAGAGTTGAGGTGGCTGCAGGTTGAGATGCCCAGGCACACAACAGGAAGCGGGGGGGCTGCACTGCGCATGACGGGACGTCTACTTCTAAAGTTGTAGAGGGGGTTGCATTGTAAAGATGACCATTCTGGTATGACTTCCTGCGCAAGTGGACATCTTGGCTGTGTATATACATATACAAAGTAGTTTAGAACTTTAACTTAATCAGGAACAACCATTCCTGTCAAATCATACACAGTGCCCACCAATTATTGTGTATTGTGCATTGGGAGGAAGCAGACTTGCAGGCCGAGCAGAACTACAGTGAGTTTCTGAAATTTTGTGAAAAATTATTGATCTGTGTTTAAATTAAGTTAAATGTTGTATCTATTAAGTTTATTTTGTTTATGTTGGTTTAGTGTAATGTTCAACTTTCAAGTTCACAATCTACAGAGCTGAAATTTGGAGTAGATAATTATTTTACGCTGATGGAGACAATTACTGTTGGTCTTAGTTTAAAAGCTGGAGGCTGGATTTTGTGCAAAAAAAAGTTTCTGTGAGTTTCAGAATTCTCTTAAGTGGTCAGAGTGGAGACATGTAGCAGCTGTCTTTGGGACTGAGAAAGAGTGTGGGATTGGCCAAGAAGGTTTGTGATTAATGCTGTTCTATTGAGCTTTTGCTCAATTTCTGGATAGGATTTGTTCTAATGGGTGAAAAATTCTTACAAAATAGGCTACAAGTGGGTAATTTATAAGTTTTAGCCCCATCTTTACCTGTTAAATACTGAGATCCCTGCAATACGTGTGTTGGTTCCACTATCCAAACATTTATATAGCATAATGTCTTGGATGAAAACGGTTTGAGTCCTCTCAGTTAAACTAATAAACTTTAGTGCTGAAACTGAAATTGGTGAAGATGATACAACACTGACATAGCCCAATAAACACTCATTTAGCGTGTGCTAAATTTTGTGGAGAAACTTGGTTTAGTTTGTGGAGTTCCGTAGCGTAGTGCAAGTGAGAGGACCCGGGTTCGATTCCCACGCAAGGTGAAACCTTAGGCAAATTTCTTTACTCCATACACCTGTTTACCCTAGCAGGAAGTAGGAACCCAGTTGTTAGTCGATTGGTGGATCGCTATCAGGGTACTAATCCCTAAAAAAAAGTGGTCACTCAATTCACGATTATTTGTGGACACTGCTGTGTGCAATTCACTGCTGTGTGCTATTGACTGCTGCATTTTTCCCCACAGATACACAGGCAATCCACTTTACAATATACAGTGTTCTATGAAGCACAGTGAGGCATCTCAATGAGGTGTTTTATCAAATGCATGGATTGTTAATTTTTAATCTGCTGAAGGAGATCTGTAGGCATGCCACAAGAGTCAGTGATAAAACCTTTATAATATATACATATACAGCTGCGATCTTTTCAACTTTGCCACTGTATTTTATTCCAGAAGAGCTTGAAAGGAATGGTCTGAAAAGTGCTTTTTAGGATCGTAGACCAAAAGTAAGGGAAAAAGATAAAATTACTTATTGAATGAAATTCACTGAACGTGTCTTCTCATTATCTTTCTCCAGCTCATTTTGGGTTGGTCCTGGACTGAGATAGCGATTTACGAATTTTGATCAAGTAAAAGTGAAATGCAGAATGCCAACATGTAAAACTGGGTTTAAAGGCTGTGATGTTACAGATTTAAATGAAAATGTTTTCTCTGCATCTTGCAGCTTCATGATGTATAGAGAGTGCCATCAATCAGCAGTGATTACAGTATAATAAAAATCATCCTTGCCTTTTAACATTAGTGCCTTTCATGTCAGGAAGATGTCAAAGCGCACAACAGGATTTATTGTAGTGTAGTGACTGTTTTTTGTCGGTGAACACAGTAGCCAATTTGCACACATTGTTGTCCCACAAACAACAAAGAAGCCAATTTTATCTAGGGCATTGTTGGTGACAACATCAGGACAAACTTCTGTCTCATTTTCAAATAATGTCATGGGATTTTTAACGTCTGACTGAACAGACAGTCAGAACTTTGGTTTAACTTCACATCCGAAGAACGGCACCTCCAACAGTGCAATCCATTGCTTTGGAGTGTCAGCCTAGACTATTTGAGTTTAAAGTCACGATGTGAGGCTTAAGCCCACACTTCTTGCTCAGAGGGGAGAGTGCACCCAACTAGCAAATCGTGGTAAGTAAGCAAGCTTTTAGTACTGAGCTTCAAAATATTGTTTTAATAAATGGATTTATTTATTATAAATACAGCGCCTTGGGACGTCCTCCTGACGTGAAAGGCGCTTTATAAATGGAATCTTGTTGTTGTTGTATTTGGTTTAATAAAAGGCTGCATCGTGGAGATACAAGCAAAACGGTTTTAAAAAAAATTGTCTGGTGAGAAAATGACATGCATTTGCTTTACAACACTTTTATGTTAATGATGTCATCTGTGTTTTCTCTTTTTTGTGTATAATAAAGGATTAGCTGAGACTTCTACCTCTTGTAGCTCAGGGACTAATTTAACCAGGATCTGGGAAGATTCCTCCAGTGGTTAATTAACATTAATTAACATGGTTTCCATCTTTTCCCTAGATCAACATCCATTATAAATATGCAAGTGTACAATCTCCTCAGTATTTCGTTCCAACCTCAATATTAAGTTTTAATTATCTTGCTGGGTAAAAGTGCCCAAACATTTTATAAAACTTAGGTGCTTTATTTCCTCTGGAATTAGTTTGATATGTTAAAGAAGCCAGCGATCCATATTAGATATTGTCGGGAAAGCTTTGTCTAGTCGATAGGTTTAGCGGGGTCCACCAAAATGCTGACACGCTGCTATTTATGTGACAAGATGTATTCAAATCTTATGGTGGGTCTCTGTGGTTTAATTAACCTGTTCCCTGTATACTGAAGCGGTGTGAACAAGTTAAACAGATATCAGACAAGCACCTGATACAGGCAGACCACTGTGAAACCATGTTGAAAGGGAATGTAATTCTGCACCCTGTACAGGAATGAAGGATAGCTCCAATCTACCTTTATAACTGTCTCATTAAAATGTCACACTGGGCAATTACTTTAATCTACTGTAGAATGCAATATTCTCATCTGCAACACAAGAACAATTTACAGGATAAAAGTGACACACTTATAACAAAAGCCTTTATTTCCGTGATACCCACTGGTATGAAGACTCCTTATGTTTGATGAATTGTTTGAAATATTTTAAGATGATGGACAGAACTTAGACATGAACTCCTTTGTTTCGGTGCAGGCACCTTGGAGATCTATTTGTCAATTTGCTTCAATGCGTAAAATAATTTGAGGCAGGAATCATTGCAAAAAGGTATTGCTTTTATAGTTTTTAATTGAGACTTGTTGGTCTTGTAGAGGTTGTAAAGGGAGAACGCTGGTCTCATATTGGGTTAAGAGTCTTCAACCCCCGGTGAGCCCAGTAGCAGAATGTACATGTGGTGATCTAATGAGTGGATGCATTTCCTTTTTTGATTGTGATGGTGCAGCCATATTTCTCCATGGTACAGGGGGAAAGGATTTATTCCTCTACCCTGCTGATACTGGATGCCTGATGAAAAGTAGGATTTTCTTTGTAGTAATGACCTGTTATGGAGACTTTTAAAACTTGGAATGTCTATCATTGCCAAGGAGGCATTCTTTCACTCAATGATGAAAAATGCACCAATAGATTACATTGGATAAAGATTCACAGTTACTTCAAACTGGTTATTTCTGTTTTTAAAAAAATCTTTGTCATTTGATATAGCACCTTACACGTCAGGAGAACATTTCAAAACGTGTCACAGGATTTAATAATGATAATCCTTACATTTGGTATAGCGCCTTTCATGTCAGGAGGATGTTTCAAATTGCTTTGCAAGATATACCAAAAAATTTGGATAACATGGCAGCCAATTTGCTCACAGCAGTGTCCCACAAATAGCCATGAAACAAATGACCAATTTTATCTGTGGGATTATTGACTCGGGCACGGGAAAAAACTCTCCTTTTTCCAAGTAGTTTCATGTGATCTTTAACATCCACCTGAACAGGCAGATGGGATCTCGATTTTAACATCTCATTTACTGATAGCACCAAAACAATATAGCTATTCCCCCAACACCGGACTGGAATGTCTGCCTAGACCGTGAGCTCAGTGTTCTGGCACAGGGCTTGAACCCACAACCTTCTAACTCGGAGGCAAGAGTGCTACCAACTAAGCCAGGCTGTGAAGTGTATTTTGTAGGAGAATGTGGCAGCCAATGTGCGTACAGCACTTTCCCACAAACAGCCATAAAGTGAATGACCAATTGTAACCAGGCAGTGACTTGATTCAATGAGGGAAC